TCCTGGTGCTTATTGAATTATTCAACTTAATTAATAAGCTTGATACTGCTGCGCCAACCCCATATTTCAATTATAAAAAATACACACCAGCTGATGACGCAGCATCCACATTTACAGCCGAAAAAAATCACTCCCCTTTTTCACTCCTGAAAATATCGCATATTTTGATGACCAAGATAAAGTGTATCCAACGCGTCTTACTTGTTTTAAAATTCCAAAGTATATGAATAAGCATATATGTGCAGTCAAAGGAAATCTTTTTGTCTTACCTAGAGGTGAGGCGACGTTCAACATTTTCAGCAAAAAAAGTAGATCCTTGTTTTTAATTCCTGTAAAATATATTTCAAATACTATTATCTATATGCTATGCTTATTTCAGCTACAAATACAGAAATAAAAGCTTCCGTATTCTCATTCTTAAGAATTCAAATTTTTCTCTCTTAGAATCGGATGAAACCACATCCACATTTTTATCCAAAAAAGAATTAAACCTTTTTTCACTGAAAATTAAAGATGTATAATTCAAACAATGTAGATTGATTTACGACACCTTATCTTTTAGTGGCAAGGTTTATATTTGTTATAGCATTTCTAAGCAAATAAAACTTTCATTTTTTTTTTTTACTTCTTTGCATAAAATAGCATATGCAGAATTAAGCGATGATGACATTTTTGCGAGAATTGATTTCGAGGGGAAAACACTGAAATGATATTCGAGCGAACAATACTGATTTAAAGATACATGTTTTGTCATTATTATGCCCTGCTAATAATTTATTATTAGAATACCAAATACCTGCTTACACATTCACAAGCATATTTTTTCTTACCAACTGATAAGCCTACATCCACATTTTTATCCGAAAAGGATTCTATTTGCATTTTCACTCTTAGAAATATACCATATTTCTATTAACACATGCGACTTTTAAAAATAAGGCTGCCCTTGACTTGTAACACATTTAAGAACTTCTTTTTTTAGGCAAGTGAGTTAAGGCAAGATATCGGTTTTCTATACAAATGAGCTGTAAAAATGCATAAATTGTATATTTTATGTACAGAGAAAATTCAACTTGATTTTCTTATACATACTTAGTACCCACAGTATATAATTGCAAGTGCACAATATGACGTTGTATTATGACGTCATAGTTCTTTCCAATTCAAGGTAATAAAACACATCAACAAAACAACGTCGGCGCAAGGGCATATACTATTTAATTTAAAATAAATAAAGTATAATTTTAAAGAGAAAATTCTCTAAATTGATAAAATTGCTGTACAAATCCTATCCTCTTCTTCAATCGATATTTTTTTTTTCTAAACTTACACTGGACTGTGCATTTTTACCCTGTTTCAACTTAGAACTGTGCGAATAGTATCTAAACAATTACTGTGTCGACATTTGTGCAGCAATATCTTAAATCCTTGGAATATTCTGCGTCCCTTTATACCTTGTTTCTGTCTAAAAGAGTAAGGTATGCCCTTGCGCCGAAGCGATTTTGTTGATGTTTCTTATAAACCTGTGTAGTAAAGGTCGATGACGTCATAATATGACGTCATAATGTGTACTGGCAATCGCATATCGTGGGAACCAAGAATGTATTAGAAAGCAAGTCTTAACATTTTCTTTGCGGTATGTATATAAATTTAGGGTCTTAATTAATCATTTTGCATTGAAACCTCCATACGTAGCCTTAACTCACTTGCGATAGTACCAGCTGACGAAGCTACATGCATATTTCCTTTCGAAATGTCAAGTTGTCTTTTTACTACTGAAAATAGCATATAGTAAAAAATTCTGTCTGGAAAAAGTACCACCTCCCTGGATGCTACTTGCATGGATGAGAAATCTTATAAGGAAAAAAAATTATTCATGATTGAAAAAAATACACCCAAATAATGAACTACTGGGGTATATTAATTCTATACTCTGCTATTTATTTGTAGTTAGAATTCCATAGTCAAACATATACAGCCACAATGATTCTTTTATGCTTACCAAGAGGCAAAGAAACGTAACATTTTCATCAGGAATTCACTTTTACTTTCACTCCAAGCTTTATGATTAAAACGTCTGTATTTTGCTTTGCTTCTAGTGCTTATTGAATTCTTGATTAGCAATACTGCTCGCCAACCCCATGCTGATGACGCAGCATCCACATTTACAGCCGAAAAAGAATTCACTCCCCTTTTCACTCCTGAAAATATAGCATATTTTGATGACCATTTTAAAGTGAATCCTACGCGTTTTACTTGTTTTAAAATTCCAAAGTATATGTATATGTACAAGCATATATGTGCAGTCAAAGGAAATCTTTTTGTCATACCAAGAGGTGAAGCGACGTCAACATTTTCAGCAGAAAAAGAGTTCAATCCTCTTTTAATTCCTGTAAATATATTTCAAATGCTATTATCTATAAGCTATGTTCATTTGAACTACAAATACAGAAATAAAAGCTTTCGTATTCTCATTCTTAGGAATTCATATTTTTCTTTCGGATGAAACCACATGTCAAAAAAGATTTAAACGTTTTTTTCACTGAAAATTAAAGATATATAATTCAAACAATGTAGATCGCTTTACGATACCTTATCTTTTAGTGGCAAGGTTTATATTTGTTATAGAATTTCTAACCAAATAAAGCTTTTCAATTTTTTTTTTACTCATTGCATTAAAGTACATATGCAGAATTAAGCGATGATGACATTTTTGCGAGAATTGATTTCGAGGGGAAAACACTGAAATGATATTCGAGCGAACAATACTGATTTAAAGATACATGTTTTGTCATTATTATGCCCCGCTAATAATTTATCATTAGAATTCCAAATACCTGCTTACACATTCACAAGCATCTTTTTTCTTACCAACTGATAAACCTACATCCACATTTTTATCCGAAAAGGATTCTATATGCCTTTTCACTCTTATAAATATAACATATTTCTATAAATAAATGCGACTTTTAAAAATAATGTCCCCTAACTTGCTAACACATTTAAGAATTTCTTTTTTTAGTACCAGCTGACGAAGCTACATGCACATTTCCTTTCGAAATGTCAAGTTGTCTTTTTACTCCTGAAAATAGCATATTTTAAATACAATGTAACTATTAAAACTATGCTCTGCTATTTATTTGTAGTTAGAATTCCATAGTCAAACATATACAGCCACACAGATTCTTTTATGCTTACCAAGAGGCAAAGAAACGTCAACATTTTCATCAGAAAAAGATTTCACTTCTCTGTTCACACCAAGCTTTATGATTAAAACGTCCGTTTCTTGCTTTGCTCCTGGTGCTTATTGAATTATTCAACTTAATTAATGAGCTTGAATACTGCTCGCCAACCCCATATTTCAATTATAAAAATACACACCAGCTGATGACGCAGCATCCACATTTACAGCCGAAAAAGAATTCACTCCCCTTTTCACTCCTGAAAATAAAGCATATTTTGATGACCATTTCAAAGTGTATGTAACGCGTTTTACTTGTTTTAAAATTCCAAAGTATATGTATAAGCATATATGTACAGTCAAAGGAAATCTTTTTGTCTTACCAAGAGGTGAAGCGACGTCAACATTTTCAGCAGAAAAAGAGTTCAATCCTCTTTTAATTCCTGTAAATATATTTCAAATACTATTATCTATATGCTATGCTTATTTCAGCTACAAATACAGAAAAAAAAGCTTCCGTATTCTCATTCTTAAGAATTCAAATTTTTCTCTCTTAGAATCGGATGAAACCACATTCACATTTTTATCCAAAAATGAATTAAACCTTTTTTCACTGAAAATTAAAGATATATAATTCAAACAATGTAGATTGATTTACGACACCTTATCTTTTAGTGGCAAGGTTTATATTTGATATAGCATTTCTAAGCAAATTAAACTTTTCAATTTTTTTTTACTTCTTTGCATAAAATACATATGCAGAATTAAGCGATGATGACATTTTTGCGAGAATTGATTTCGAGGGGAAAACACTGAAATGATATTCGAGCGAACAATACTGATTTAAAGATACATGTTTTGTCATTATTATGCCCCGCTAATAATTTATCATTAGAATTCCAAATACCTGATTACACATTCACAACTATCTTTTTTCTTACCAACTGATGAACCTACATCCACATTTTTATCCGAAAAGGATTCTATTTGCCTTTTCACTCTAAAAATATACCATATTTTTATTAACACATGCGACTTTTAAAAATAAGCCTCTCCTAACTTGCTAACACATTTAAGAACTTCTTTTTTTCGTACCAGCTGACGTAGCTACATCAACATTTCCTTTCGAAATGTCAAGTTGTCTTTTCACTCCTGAGAATCGCATATTTTAAATACAATGTAACTATTAAAACTATGATCTGCTATTCATTTGTAGTTAGAATTCCATAGTCAAACATGTACAGCCACACTGATTCTTTTATGCTTACCAAGAGGCAAAGAAACGTCAACATTTTCATCAGAAAAAAAATTCACTTTTCTTTTCACTCCAAGCTTTATGATTAAAACGTCTGTTTCTTGCTTTGCTCCTGGTGCTTATTGAATTATTCAACTTAATTAATGAGCTTGAATACTGCTCGCCAACCCCATATTTCAATTATAAAAATACACACCAGCTGATGACGCAGCATCCACATTTACAGCCGAAAAAGAATTCACTCCCCTTTTCACTCCTGAAAATATAGCATATTTTGATGACCATTTTAAAGTGTATCCAACGCGTTTTACTTGTTTTAAAATTCCAAAGTATATGTATAAGCATATATGTGCAGTCAAAGGAAATCTTTTTATCTTACCAAGAGGTGAAGCGACGTCAACATTTTCAGCAGAAAAAGAGTTCAATCCTCTTTTAATTCCTGTAAATATATTTCAAATACTATTATCTATATGCTATGCTTATTTCAGCTACAAATACAGAAATAAAAGCTTCCGTATTCTCATTCTTAAGAATTCAAATTTTTCTCTCTTAGAATCGGATGAAACCACATCCACATTTTTATCCAAAAAAGAATTAAACCTTTTTTCACTGAAAATTAAAGATATATAATTCAAACAATGTAGATTGATTTACGACACCTTATCTTTTAGTGGCAAGGTTTATATTTGTTATAGCATTTCTAAGCAAATAAAACTTTCATTTTTTTTTTTACTTCTTTGCATGAAATAGCATATGCAGAATTAAGGTAGGTCGCGGGTTTACTGCATAAAAATTCTTACGAGAAAACATATCCTGAAAATTTGATATAATGTTCCCGAGAATTTACTGCGTATTATCTGCAATTTTTATAAAATTTGCCTACGTAGTTTTAATGCTATATTACTATAAACGCGGTATTGTCATTAGTACATTTTTTACGCTTTACTATTGAAATATATGGAAAAATGACGTTTTTAAGCCAATTTTGTGAAAATAGTTTCTTTTAAAAGGTTTGATAACTTTTTAAAGAAGTAGACGAATTAATCAGGAATTTCAAAATGTCAAGATGAGGTAAAATCAAAACTATTGATATCAAAAAATCAACATGTCTTCTCGCTAGATTTCAAAGTTCCTTTTTATATTGCTGAAATGTTGCGTTTATGGCGTTATTTATGTCTACAACGTTATTTGTTGAACGTTGTAACGTTTACCGTACGAATATAAATATTTTGACATTTGGAATACTAAGTATGCAAGATCTAAAATATGTCATAAACTCAAAATTTAATTTTATTCATCATTTAACTTATTGCGAAAAAATATTAGGATGACCAGCAACTTATTTTCACTAGTATTGTGAAATTCATATTCTAATCACAGAGTCAGAATGAAGGGTACATGTATAAACATTCCTCGTGCATGAGAATTAACATGCATCGACAACACCGCGAGTGATAAATATGAGTTCCTATATTTTTATGAAATTCATGGTGGAAAGGATTTCAGGCATAACACAAAAATTTGATCACTTTATTAAAAAAATAACGGTAAAGAAAAAACTTCCAGATACTGGGGAAATTAGCCGGGGGAGTGGGGTGGGGTGGTGGGTTAGGGGGGTATTTGCAATTTTCTTTCTATATATATTAGACGCAAGCTGGTACATGGGCCTAACTCTTAAGCATTTGTTAATTACGAATTCTCTTAATCAAATTTCCATGCACAAAATGTAAAATACATACACTTGAATTGAGCTTTTACACTTAGACTAGAGCTTTTGTTTAAAACTTTTAATAATAGAAAAAGATACTTGTAAATTGTTTACAGTGTCATATAGGTCTTACAGGTTTTTGTATAAATTTGGATCTTGAAAGCATTTCACAATTTATCAGCCAGTAAAACAAGGCGACTAGATGAGATTTAGATACATAATGAGTAACCACACAATACTTAATAAAAATGATGATGATGATGATGATAAGAAGAAAAAAAAAAGGAAAATGCATGTATTAAATTTAATGCGTTTTTAGTGTTGAGGATTGATTCCATTCTGAAAATTATACGCATATTTTTTCGCCCTAGCTTTGATTAGCAGTCATGATGCAATACGCATGTTCCCCCAGTTGCAAATAACGTGCGCAAATACAACCCCTCAAGTTTTCCGCTAAACAATTTTATTTATGATAACTTACTCTCTGCATACCATAACTTTCACGCCGACTTATTCTGATTGACTTTTAGCAGTTTAGTAATACTTACAATATAAATTATTCCTTTCATTTGGTATTGTATTTAATTTTTCCTAGGGCATTACATATACTAGTAATCACTTGAGAGTTCAGACTGAAATTTAATTATAAAACATGTACCGGGTTTACGTACAATAGCATGCACTTTTAATCTACTTGATTCGTACTGACTTGAAGTCATTTGCAGAGAATTAAGCGGGAAACAACGCAACGTTGCCTTTGTGACGTAACTGACGTCATAATCAAATGTGCACAAAACAGCCGCTCGAATCGTCGAAATTGTGTACCAAAATTGATGACAAAAGCAAACCCGCGACCTACCTTAAGCGATGATGACATTTTTGCGAGAATTGATTTCGAGGGGAAAACACTGAAATGATATTCGAGCGAACAATACTGATTTAAAGATACATGTTTTGTCATTATTATGCCCTGCTAATAATTTATCATTAGAATACCAAATACCTGCTTACACATTCACAAGCATATTTTTTCTTACCAACTGATAAGCCTACATCCACATTTTTATCCGAAAAGGATTCTATTTGCATTTTCACTCTTAGAAATATACCATATTTCTATTAACACATGCGACTTTTAAAAATAAGGCTGCCCTAACTTGCTAACACATTTAAGAACTTCTTTTTTTAGGCAAGTGAGTTAAGGCTAGATATAGGTTTTCTATGCAAATGAGCTAATAAAAATGCATAAATTGTATACTTTATGTACATAGAAAGTTCAAATTGATTTTCTTATACATACTTAGTACCCACAGTATATTATTGCAAGTGCACATTATGACGTCATATTATGACGTCATAGTTCTTTCCAATTCAAGGTAATAAAACACATCAACAAAACAACGTCGGCGCAAGGGCATATCCTATTAAATTTAAAATAAATAAAGTATAATATTAAGGAAAATATTCTTAAAATTAATAAAATTGCTGCACAAATCCTATCCTCTTCTTCAATCGATAAAAATTTTCCTAAACTTACACTGGACTGTACATTTTTACCCTGTTTTCAGCTTAGAACTGTG